TATATATATATATGTGTGTGTGTGTGTGTTTTGTTTTTTGTGCAAATTATTTATTCTATTCCCACTAATCTCATTAATACTTTCATTTCAAATTCTTACATTTGATCTATAAATTCAATTGACACTGAAAAATACAACTGCATTAAATAATTATTATGAGATTATCTTAAATATTTTTTAATATACAAACAAGAAATTATGGTGTAAATGATACTTTTCAACTAAATTAAAACACCAGTTGGTGCCTGTAGTGAGCGTTTAATGAGTGAGTCATTGAATCGTTCATTCAAACGATTCATTCAAACGGCAGATTCATCAGATGTTTATGCATGGGCTAATGAAACTTTGACTCAACCGATTCGTTCAAAACACGGAATCAATCAGCAATGAATTGGCTGTTGCTGTGAGGTGCGCTGTGTTTCCGCCTAAAATTTAAGTGACCTAATATTATTGTATTTGCTTATTGAACTGTTTATAGAACTATTAAACAGTCGTAATGGTGAAAACGTTGTGTGATGTTGCCTAACTAATTGTATTTTAAATATAAAAACTTTCCATTTTGAATCTTTACCTCAGGATGCTGAGTTTCGTAGTGTTGCGCGTTTTGATTTCTTCTGGAGAGGCTGCGGCAGCCTCGCCTCAGCAGCGCAGCCTTATACTGTCAATAGATGCTTTATATACATTAGATACCCACTATTCGCCACTTACTCTAAATGTAATAAAATCAGAATAATATTGCGTTTTGGTGTTTACATAGTTATTTTTTGTTTCTGATGTTTTAATCATGTTACTTGTCTGGCATTAATGAAGAGTTAATGTCAAGCCCTGGAGTCTATAACGTTAAGTGCCGGGGCTCAGCCCCAGACGGCCCGACCCAATTTAAACCCTGGTCTTATGTAGCATGATGCTACAGTGTGCATGAATGGTCACATAACACGCGCTTTCGGTCTTGAAGTATGAACGGACATCTGCATATGATTGGAACTCTACACAGCTCCCGCGCTACTCTCCATTGGAAATGAATGACTTTCGGTCTGTCATTTGTCGGAGATAGTGGAAAGCCGGCTTGAAACGCAGTGGAAATGCCAGTAAGACGAGGATCGTTTTCATTTTAAAACAAAAACGCACCAGTGTAAATGTAGCCTTACGGGGGCTGGGATGCATTCACACTAAATACTCACGTGTGAGCCACATCTCTGAGTGTGGTGCGTGACGCGGACCGACTGTACAGACCTATCGGTGTATTAGGCTATCACGAGCAGACTGCTCCGTACGTTTTCGCATCGCTCTCATGGATGTCAAACACTGATCGATCTGCGCCTCACTGACGTTGATGAGATTAACCCCTTAGGTATCGAAATTTGGTACCGAACGACAAGACGTTTTTCAATACTCAATGGTATCGAGGCAATTCAGTCGGTGCCTAAAAAGTATCGAACTCGATACCCAGCCCTAGCCGTCACACAGGCTTGGTCCACCTTGATGCGGATGCGTCCATGAAGGGGTCTCATTCTGAGCAGGCCCAACTGAAGTACCGGTGCTGCAGAGGCCATGAGGCCCAGCATCTTTTGAAACTTTTTGAGAGGGTAGGAGGCTCAAATTTTGAAGGAAGCTGCGAGCTGCTGTATGGCCAGTGCATGGTCTGGCGTGACTATCGCCCTCATGGTAACTGAGTCGAAAACTGCCCCCAGGAAGGAATTTCGCTGGCTGGGGGACAGAGAGCTCTTGGCAAAATTGATCCTGAATCCCAGTCGCTCTAAGTGGCTGAGGAGGAGGGGCCTGTGGGCTATTAGCTCGGCCTCTAACTGTGCTAAAACGAGCCAGTCGTCGAGGTAATTCAGGATACAGATTCCCATCTGTCTCAGAGGGGAGAGGGCCGCATCCATGCACTTCGTAAAAGTGCGAGGAGCCAGAGACAGCCCAAAGGGCAGGACCATGTATTGATAAGCCACTCCCTCGAAGGCGAATCTCAAGAATTGTCTGTGATGGGGGGCTATCTGGATGTGAAAGTAAGCATCTTTCAGATCCAGCGAAAAGAACCAGTCCCCTGGGCGGATTTGCGAGAGGATCTGCTTCAGTGTAGTCATTCTGAATGGCCGTTTCATGAGGGCACGGTTCAGCTGTCTGAGATCGAGGATGGGCCGCAGGCCGCCATCCTTTTTGGGGACGAGGAAGTAACAGTTGTAGAAGCCTGACTCGCTCTCAGCTGGTGGAACTGTTTCTACGGCTCCTTTTGCCAGCAAATTCTTTACCTCGGCTCGCAGAATGTGAGCGTTCCTGCTGTGCACTGAGGTGGAGACCACGCTGTTGAACCGCGGGGGTCTTCGAGCGTATTGAAGTGAATAACCTTGTTCTATAATCCCCAGAACCCAATGAGACACTCCGGGGATGGCCCGCCAGGCCTCGGCCCGTGTGACAAGGGGTTGGATTAATTCGGGTGGGAGTCGCCATGCGGGGACTCGACACTCATGATAACTGGAAGAGAAAATTTGCTCTCTTTTTGAAATTTTTTTTTTCTCACTATCACTGCGGATATGTGTGAGGGCGCTTTTAAAATGGGCCCGTGATTCACAACAATTTCTGGAACAAACATACTGCCTTTGCCCCTTCCTCTTCCTTTCCAGCGGATCAGGACGCCACTGGGGGCGCAGGGTCCAAGTTCAGCTTGGGCCGGGGTCCTTGGCGCTTTGGTAAGGGATAGCGTCTGGCCGAGCGGGAGCGCTGTAGGGGCTCAGGATTTTGAGCAGGCTGAGCGGGCGACGGCGCAGCTTTAGCTGGTTGCTGTGCTGGAGCAGGCTTGGGGCGACTGGTGGCCATTGCAGAGCTGTAACGTTTCGGCAAGAAGTGTCGCATGGCCTGGGACAACTTCTGAGCCACGGTGAATTGCTCTGCAAATCCCTCGGTCCAAACAGCCCTGTAGGGGAGACCAGGGAGTTGAGGAAGGGAACCTTGTCAGCCTCCTTAATCTCAGTGAGGTTTAGCCATAAGTGATTGGTCAGGTCCTGACTCATCTATGGCCTGGAGGAGTTTGGCCTGAAAGACCTGAAGCACAGCCATGGAGTGTAGAGCTGAGGCGGACTGCCCAGCAGAGGAATACGCTCGTCCAGCGAGGGCAGAAGTCATCCTGCAGGGTTTGGAGGGGTGAGCGACCTTCGCTTTCCATCCAATGGCAGTGGGCGGGCAAAGGTGCGCAGCCACTGCCTCGTTGAGAGGAGGCATCCTCTCGTAACCCTTTACTTCAGTGCGATCCACTGAGGAGAGAGCAGAAGAAGAGTTAGAGCGAAGGCTTCGTAAGCTCATCATGGACCTCCAGGAAAAACGGAGAGGCTCGCTGATGAGGGGCCTGGCGGCACCCCGGCAGGAACCATTCCTTCGCTTTCCATCCAATGGCAGTGGGCGGGCAAAGGTGCGCAGCCACTGCCTCGTTGAGAGGAGGCATCCTCTCGTAACCCTTTACTTCAGTGCGATCCACTGAGGAGAGAGCAGAAGAAGAGTTAGAGCGAAGGCTTCGTAAGCTCATCATGGACCTCCAGGAAAAAACGGAGAGGCTCGCTGATGAGGGGCCTGGCGGCACCCCGGCAGGAACCATTCGGCTACGAGTGGGCTCCTCTGGCGTAGACCACTCCAATCCCAGTTCCTCAACTGCGGAAAAGTTCGGCATCCATCCCTGGCTTAGAGTCACTAGGCCTGGCAGACGATGAAGGGGCGGAGTCAGCAATAGAGCCCGACATCACCTCCGCGTCTGATGCTATTAGAGACATGCTGTCATCTAATAGCTCGTTCTCTACGGGACCGAACGAGACCATGTCGCTCGCATAAGCCGAGAGATGCTGGTCTGCGTGCTCAAAGAGAACGGGAGAAGCCTCTCTGCTTGGCGGGGGCGAAGTGCGCGAGATCTGGGCTGGCGCGAGCTCGTTCATGGCCGAGCGCTTAGTCCCTTTGCCCCGCTGTTTTTTCCTCACAGATCCCTGCGAGGATAAAAACGGGAGGGCGCGAGGGGCGGATTCGCTCTCTAAAAAGAAAGCGATCCGAGCGCGCAGAGTGGTGAGACTCATGTTCACACAATGTGAACAATCCATCTTTTTTTTGTTCCCAATAAATATTGCTCTTATTGCACTAATATATATTTATATAAATTATACCATGCAGTAGCCATATGCTACCATTCAAAAGTTTGAGGTCAGTTAGATTTTTATTAAAGAAAGTAATACTTTTATTCAGCAAGGATGCATTCAATTGATCAAAAATGACAGTAAAGACATTTGTAATGTTATAAAAGATTTCTATTTCAAATAAAAAGAAAAGCACTAAGCAGCACAACGTTTTTTTCAACATTGATAATAAGAAATACAAAAGATTTATTTCAAATAAATGCTATTTTTGTACTTTTTATTGACCAAAATTTCAGAAAAAAAAAATTTTTCACCAAAAATATTAAGCAACACAGTTGTTTTCAGCATTAATAATCAGAAATGTTTCTTGAGCAGTAAATCAGCATAGAATGATTTCTGAAGCATCATGTGACACTGAAGACTGGAGCGATGATGCTGAAAAATCAGCACAGGAATAAAATCAATTTTTAAGCATATTCAAAAAGAAAACTGTTATTTTAAATTGTAATAATATTTCACAATATTACTGATTTTACTGGAATAATTTTGATCAGAGAAATACAGCTTTGGTGTGCATAAGAGACTTCTTACTGACCCCAAATGTTTTAACGGTAGTGTGTATTTAAAATCTTTTTCTGTCCCGCCTCTCACCCCATATTTTTCTGCATATTTGCAGGTACGTGTCTGCTCTGACCACGCCGGCGCATCTATCTCCGGTGGACTTTCACTCCTCACTGCCCCCGCAGGTGCCTACCTTTCAGATCACCACGCCCAACGCCAACCATGCCCTCTCCCTGCCGCCCGCCGCCTCTGCCATCGCCATGGCGGCCTACTCGCCCGACGATGACCAGCCCCTCCTGCACCGCTACCGCCGATCCCGACGCCCATATTACATGGCGGAGAGCACGGGCTCCCTCCCGTCCAGCCCGTACCGCTTTGTGGATGATGAGGATTATGAGACCACACAGGAGTACATGTCCTCCCGAGAGCAGCCGAAGAAGAGCAGCAGTGGCCGCCGTTGGCACAGAAGGTCGCGGGTCAACGGCCACGTGTCACAGCGTACGCCGGGCCCCAGGAACTACAGCTCTCAAAGCTGCCTGTCGGACAGTGAGTGGGAGGACGATGTGGTTGGCGACCTTGGCCATGGCGAGAGCACGCCGTTTCTCAGTATGCAGAACATGAATGCCACAGAACCGGCCACCATCTACCGACCCAACAACACGCGGACTTTCAGCAACATGGGACGCTCGGGCTCCCGTGGCAACGTGCAGGCCAACAAACTGTCGCAGTCGCGGTCCAGACCAGACAATGCACCCCTTTAAAAAAGAACAATAAGAGCAAGGACGAACAAACTTGCATAGGCGTGAAAAACAAATGATATGCTATAGACCTGCACCTATGAGAAATATTTTTTATTTTGTATAACAGACAGATATTCTAAACAAATGAAATATTTATTTTCATTTCAGCAAAAATTGTCTACTAGCTAGCAGCAAAGACTTTTTTTATAGGGGAAAACTATTTATATGTAATTCCTTTTTTTTTTTTATTTACAGCATTACTAAGAAGAATTACGTGCCAATTTTTTCACAAGCTAGAAATAGAATAATATTGTGGTGCCTTTTGCTGTTTGCCGACGAGGGAGGTTCAGTTGAATTTTTGTAGCCTTTCTTAAAAACAGACTCTTGGGTTTTATAGACATGTTTTCCTGTTTTTTCTTTGTTCGTTAGTTTCATTTCTTCAGGATCTCCCCATTTGAACTGTGATATTATTCAGACACCATGCAATATCGAATCACTTCTGTGTAAGGTGTTTGTTTACATGAGTAGGATTCACGCGCACACATAACCGACGTTAAATCGCATCGGATGCCGATTCGTTCGAGCATCCGAGTGCCGACTTTAGTTTCTACGTTCTACGTTTTCTTTTCTCTCAACTGGTTGTTGTATATTGTTTCCATGGAAACAGAGGTACGCAGGAGTTCACAGGGCATGACGCTGGGTCGCAGTATCGGCCCTGGTGTTCAGGGTTCTCAAAACGGTGGTCTGTGCGTCCAATGAATGTGTTTACACTTCTGTCTGTGTGCGTGAGAGTACCGTTGAACCTCAGTGTATACGTACGTGTCTTTGTGTACGCAGTTTCGTGCGAGAACGCATTTCGTTCGTGCGTTCGCATTGTGTTTGTCTTCAGGTTAACGTTTCGAGCGCGTGTGCGTGTTGTGAGTTTAGACGTGCGCCTGTGTGTATACGTATGCTTGTACTCTTTTTAGGATGTTGGCTTTGTCGAAAGGGAGCTCTATTACGTCACCAGGTTATCGCTAAATGGTTAAACCCCCTAGTGGTGACACGAGCTCATTGCACTGTAACCTTCCTTCGTTCCTTGTGTAGTCATTGGCCTGCGGAGGAACCAATCCAGCCTGATTCTAGCCTACACGGACCTACATCTCTCTCCCACACCTTCCCATTCCTATGCCAGCAGCTTTAAGCCGCACTGTGTCTCAGGACTTTTCATTGAAATCTGCATTGCCCATAAAACAGATTCATTACTGCCCGTCGTGTCTGCATCATGCTGGGAAGACGATGAAGAACGATACGACCAGATGTGTTTGTCTCCGAAATGCTCCATGTTTTGTTGGTTGTCCTTCATTTTGTTTTAGTGGGGTCGTTCCCAGTCCACACTCTCTCTTTTTGACACATCTGTATACAAGTTGGAGACTTGCTCGAAGCAATGCGTGTTCGGCTACTAGACGTGCTACTTTAGGTGGATTATGAAGTGTTAAACCCTACTTCCAGAGTCCAGCAACCTACAACTACATTTGAAAAGATAAACCCACCACCCACACACTAACACCTTGACACACATGCAAATGCACACACTTACACAAACACAGACACTGACACACATGCTCAAGATTCATTCTGTGTGCACACAGTCGTTTAAAGCACCGCTTGTCTCACCGATTGATTTTCTTCCTGTCTTTCTGTCTCTTCTGTTCTTCCTCTCTGCCTGTAAAGGCGTCCCTCCCTCTGCATGTTCTAGTGGTTCAGATAGATGGGTGCATGGTAACCGCAGCAACTGAGTCGTATTCACACGGTGAAAGTGTAGTTTTCATTTGACATTCAGCAATAAGTCCCCTTTTTTCATGTTCATTCTTGACTTGGAATATGCTAGAAATTTTTGCAAGTTTTCTCAAAAAATAATACTTGTAAAAAAATTTAATAAAATCAAACTACTTGTTCATATGGAAAAAATAAATATGAATTCCTACCATTTTAAAAAATGAATTCATCAGAATGTATGTCTGTTTCTTGGCATGATATATATATGTCTTTATAATAAGAAAATGTTTTCAGGGGAAGAGCAGTTTATTCTTTCTTTGACAGAGTTGTATCAAGGATGCAACCAAATTTTCAATTTTAGTGGGGACTGGAGGAAAAAACTTGACAACTAGCCACTGAAAAACGTATAGTGATCAACAACTAATTTTAATATCAGACAGTATACATCTTCCTCTGTCTCTATGGTGGTAACAGGTCTGGATAATATCATGAGAAATCAACTTTTCCTTCATATTTAGAGATAAAGGTGCTTGAAAAGTACTGTGAAGTCTTCAATCCGAAAAGAGCGAAACTAATTTGCAAAAAATGTTTGACATCAGATGAATGCATTGAACACATGCAAAGAGTACACTTACATAACGTTATGGGTAACACTTTACAGTAAGGTCACATTAGGTAACATTAGTGCATTAACTAAAATTAACTATCAATGAGCAATACATTTGTTACTGTATTTATTTATATATTTAACATTCATTAACTTTATTGTTAATGTTACCTCACTTCCATTATATAACGTAAACAGATACAACTTTTGATTTAAAAAATGTATTAGTAAATGTTGAAATTAACATTAACTAAGATTAATAAATGCTTTAGAAGTATTTTTTCATTGTTAGTTCATGTTAAATAATGCAGTTAACTAGTGGTAACTAATATGACATTATGACGGAAAAAAATAAGTTAATATTTGCAACCATTTTAATTCTTTCAGCTGAACATTATTTCATAATTGGATTTAGTTAGCAGACACAATTAGTGGCTTTGGGAGTTATTTAAAAAATGAAGTGTCAATTTCTTTTTTTAACATTTAAAACATGAAACAATCCGAAAAGAGCGAAACTAATTTGCAAAAAATGTTTGACATCAGATGAATGCATTGAACACATGCAAAGAGTACACTTACATAACGTTATGGGTAACACTTTACAGTAAGGTCACATTAGGTAACATTAGTGCATTAACTAAAATTAACTATCAATGAGCAATACATTTGTTACTGTATTTATTTATATATTTAACATTCATTAACTTTATTGTTAATGTTACCTCACTTCCATTATATAACGTAAACAGATACAACTTTTGATTTAAAAAATGTATTAGTAAATGTTGAAATTAACATTAACTAAGATTAATAAATGCTTTAGAAGTATTTTTTCATTGTTAGTTCATGTTAAATAATGCAGTTAACTAGTGGTAACTAATATGACATTATGACGGGAAAAAATAAGTTAATATTTGCAACCATTTTAATTCTTTCAGCTGAACATTATTTCATAATTGGATTTAGTTAGCAGACACAATTAGTGGCTTTGGGAGTTATTTAAAAAAAGGAAGTGTCAATTTCTTTTTTTAACATTTAAAACATGAAATATCTTTCAAATATAGTAGGTATAATCTTTTTCTTAAAATAATAGCACAATTTTTTATGTAGTAAAACAAAGATTATTTAAGTACGTTTTACAAGAAAACACTACTTTCTACTTCACAATTTAACATTTAATTTAATGTTACTTGCTGTTTCTTTGTAACTGGTTGTGAAATTTTCTTGCAATTTCTGAATGAAAATTGTTTTTTTGTTTTTTTCAGTGTACTTTCAGTGCAACTTTCAGTAGTAAGAGTACGGCTTAGATGTTAAAAACCATATAATGAAGCAAGAGAGAAACACAAAGTTCTGTTACTAACCCTAACTTAACCAGCTCGACTTGTCTGACCAAGACTCTGTCAAGGATTGGTTCTTCTAGTGGTGCTAAAATCTTTAAAAATGCTTGGAATGGAACACATTTATCAACAAGCAACCTGAAGACAAAGAGTTTGTGGACGAGCTGCCAGGGGAGAAGATGAGACCGTTTTAAACAGTGAGCTCATATTAATATCATCACCACACTGATGAAATACTTGATTATATTCTAGATTCTAATCAACAGTGATGCTGATATTGCTTTGTAATGCTCCCTGAAGGGAGTAGCTTGTTATCTGTGGGGCTTTCAAATGAAAATGCAGCACAGTGACAACTCACCATACTTGTCAAACAACAAGTCTAAGTGAATGAAACTACAAAATACAAAAGTGGATGTGTGTATATGTATACTGATAATAAATAGGGGACAACAGAGCTTAGTGTTAGATTTTTATTGAATTTTAATATTTATTTAATTTATTAAATGACCTTGTTTCCACCTGTTTTTATTATTACCTTTATTTAACCATGAAAATGATTCCGTGAGATTAAATAATCTATACAGACTATCTATACAATATTCACTAGAGTAAAAAGTGTGACAACTAGCCCCGATCTCCTCTCTATTACGTCTTTCATCGCAAATGAGTATCGTGGGCGTGGCCTCAAGCGCGCACAGCACACCTGAATGGCCATTCACAGCCGAAGTCATTTGAGCCCTCCACAGTGTACGAGCAACAGGTGAATGCGAGTTTACTTTAAAACAGATTATTTGATCCCCTGCTGATTTTGTGCGTTTGCCCACTTACAAAGAAATGAAGGGTCTGTAATTTTTGGTAGGTTTATTTTAACGTATAGAGACAGAATACCAACCAAATAAATCCAGAAAAAACACATTATATAAAGGTTAGAAATTGATTTGCATTTCACTGTAACACAGTACTTATCAGAGAGAGAGAGAGAATTAATATAGAATTTGAATTCATCTCATGAACCTTTATTGGAATTGTGGAATAGATGCCGATGCAAGGTTATAGTCTCTCATACCATAATATTTGAACTTAAGCTCTCAAACTGATCAAATTGCCCAGTTTATCAGCAGTATGATCGTGTGGTTCATTATGGCTCTCTCATCCTCTGAAAAACTGCTTTTACCTCCTTTCCTCTGGACCGTGACTTTTGTTTTTGCTGTGCAGCTCATTTGGCCTCTTCTGCGTTGCCTTGGTAACCTGCTGGTCAGTGGAGGTGATGTAAAGCCAGAGGACACTCGTCTCCTCGCCGCGCTGTGTGTCTTTAGTCAGGTTTACCTTCACCCTCATCCTGCTCTGTCCAGAGAGAGCCTGTGGGCGCTCAACAACCTCACTGGTGAGCAGGACGTTAGCATGCATGTGCTCAAATTGGTTTGCACCCTAATTATTCATCCCAGTTAAAGCTCAAAATTAAATGAACTTGTGTTTATTGGAGAGAACACCATTCTCACAATTATGGCTGTGATGCACTGTCTTATGTTTTTTTCAGCTGGCTCCAGTGGGTTCTGCTCTGGCCTGCTGCTCCTTAATATGGTTCCCATATTAATCCGATTTCTGTCTTTCTCTAAAGGAATTAACTCAATGGTGAGGAACCAGCATGCATGTATATACATCAAGCTAACATACCTATACTTTTGGGCCATGACCCACTATGAGGTGTATGACCTTACACCGACCCATATTAAAGTATTTAAAGAAAACATACTTGAAAAATGTTTGAGAAGAATTTACTCTCCTGTTCAAAAGTTTGGGGTGTTATGATTTTTTTGTAAAATAAAAGAATATTTAAGTGACAGTAAAGACATTTATAATGTTATAAAATATTTTTATTTCAAATAAATGCTGCTCTTTTAAACTTCATTAAAGCATCCTGAAAAAATGTATCAACGTTTCCACAGAAATATTAAGCAGCACATCTGCACACACTTTCAACATTGATAATAATAATAACAATAATAATAAAAGTTTTTTTTTGTAAAATAAAAGAATATTTAAGTGACAGTAAAGACATTTATAATGTTATAAAATATTTTTATTTCAAATAAATGCTGCTCTTTTAAACTTCATTAAAGCATCCTGAAAAAATGTATCAACGTTTCCACAGAAATATTAAGCAGCACATCTGTTTTCAACATTGATAATAATAACAATAATAATAAAAGTTTTTTGAACAGTCACGTTTGTATATATATATATATATATATATACACGTATATTCGATTAACATATTTTTCATTTGTAGAAATATTTCTTACTTTTTTTCTAATACTTGTTTGACTGTATTTACTTAATATTATGTTGTTTCTGTCATAGTAAATCACTGCTGATAGATAACTTGTATTTACTGCATTGTTTTTAAAAAGGTTTATATTCCTGCTGCTGCAATTCTACTATACTCATATTCTTTCACATCGCATTCACATGTACTTTTTGGTAAAATAATCACAGCTAAATCTCAGTTCTCACACAATTATTATTGTTTGTATAAGGCACTGAGAGTTCTGGGTAATATCGCCCATCATGGCACAGAATATTGTGTTGGTTTGACACAAGCAGGGCTGCTGACCGCCCTCTGTGCCACACTCAAGATGGCCGAGCCAGAGGTGGTCACCCTGAGCCTGGAAGTGCTGTACATGCTGGTGTCCAGCTGCCCACAGGTGAATGAGACCTTTTAAGAAACCATTCTCACTTAAAATAGGATTGCGACGTTATTATAGTTTTTATTCATATTTTTTCAGTTTTCATTTAAAATATTTTCCCATTTCATTATAATTTGAAACTTTTAGTAATTTTGTTGTGTATTTTTATCATTTATCATAATTTTACTTAAAAACAAAAATGTTTAGTTTTACATTTAGTTAATGATAATAACTCTGCACTTCATTTTACATTGATCTTTGTAAGAAACTTAATGGCAGACTTACTTAGAATCACTCAACGAGCAAATTTAATGTAAGTCCTGCTTGTAACAGGTGGTGGAGGAGTTTATGAGGTTAAATGGTGTTCCTCTGCTGGAAGCCATTCTGTACAACAGTGAAGGAGAGCAACGTGTCAGAGCTGCCTACCTTCTCGATCATCACTTCCCTTCTTTCTCTGAGGTCAATATTGCATTTACCTGCTTATATTTATGGACATAGTATATGTGCGGAATCACCATAATCAATCTTCTCATTCTTTTTTGTTTTGTTTAAAGGTGGAGAGCTTTTCATCATAACACATCCAATGACAGAATTGCAAAGATTACTCTTTGCAAAGATTTTCTGTTTTCTTCAAAGCAAACTGAATGGACTTTTCTGAATTGTACAGAAAATAAATACCTTTTTTTACTGCACATGTGAAGCATGTTCATGTGTTTTTGCTACCTGCTGATCCGACTGACCCTTGGATGCACAGAACAGCATTTTAATGGTTTGTATAGTGAATATATCTGAATGTTGCCATTTCTTCAAAAGTCACTAGGAGTTCCACAAGCCTCACATGTGACAACAGCACAAACATAAATACCGTTTACACTTTAAGTATGTTGAATGGTAAAAACATACATGTCTAAATTGTTTGCAATCCTAAAACAGTCAATGTTTATTTAGGATGATATTTATTCTGAAGGTAATCCACTATTTCTCTTAAATACATAAAAGTAAAAAATATTTTATTTTATGCCTTAGAATAATTAATATCTAGTTCTCTCTCAAATTTACAGTTGTATTGTTGCAATATCATTATATTATTAATGTAAATAAAGGGTAACCCAATGGAAACGGGTAAACAGCTGCTGTATGTCTGATATGAAACACATTCATGTAACAGCGCCGGTTAAGCGTTATAAGCAGCAGGACATGACAGCAGACCTGTGCGTGTCCGTGAATGAAGGTGACGCCGTTATTTGTGTTTAATCCGCTGATTTGTCTCACTAATGAGATTTACAGCGCGTTTGAGCAGTGTGTGCTAAGCTTTGTTGTTGTTGTTTTTAGCATTGCAGCTAAGCTAATAGCATGAGTCGAGTGGAAAGTGCATTAGAGTGTCACATAAACTGATGAAACGCTACAAGACATTTGTCAGGCGGTTAAATAAACTATTTGTGGACGTTTTAAGAGCGTGTCCTATTTGGGATGGAAATACACTTAAGATTATTAATGAACAATTACGTTTGGTTTCAGTTTCACTGGCTGTGTCTCAAAACTAGTGAGCTGACTATATACTGTAGACAGCATTTTTGGGCTCATTTGTTCTGAGACAGCAGTGTTTTGCGCCTAAAGGTACTGTCTAGCTGCTCACTAGATTTTAACAGCTGCCAGGTTTATTATTTATTAGTCATAGATTCCTGTTGGACTTGCTGTCCATGTTTATGATAATGTAGATGTTGGATAGGAAACACGTGCATTACACTGTTATGTGCTCCTGGTTGTTCACACAATGACAGTAAAATCCTGATAAATCCACATTGTGGGGACCAAACTTGATTAATAATGTCTACACATAATAACTATAAATAAGTCTAGGGTTTAAATTGTAGTGATTAGATCAATAATTAGATCAATTCAAGAACTTCAGATGTCAAAGAGTGGCCTAAACTATTGTATAAAAGTGTGTGTGTGTGTGTGTGTGATCTCCTGCAGAGCTGCTGACCAGCTGCACTTCAGTGGGCTCCTGCTGAGCGGTATGTAGTCACAACAAAACACAACATGCATTCAACATGTAAAGCTTCAGTCAAACAAAACATGCATTCATCATGATAAAACCTTACTCAAACAAAATGTGCATTCAGCATGATAAAGCTTTAAGCTAAAACAACATGCATTGAACACGATCAAGCTTCGTCCAATCACAGCAGGCATTCAACATGATAAAGTTTCATCCAAACACAACATGCATTCAGTGCGCTAAAACTTAAACACAACACAATAAGCCTCACCCAGACAGTACACATGCTGAAACTGCAGCAAAACACAGGATGCATTGAATGTGCTGAAACTGCAGCAAAATCTAAAACAAAACATCCAAAAAACTCATGTTTATACCGATAATAATCCTCATTACGAACATATCTCAACCTTTGTTTAGATTCTCATCTATATTATAATTTATTTCTACTGGAGCATCATGCAGTTGGAGGCTCATCTTCGTCTCTCTCAGGGTTGTTTGTGGTTCTGTAAAAGTTCTCAGCGGCTGTTCTCACTCTGTACTGCACGCAGGTACGCACGACCAAACTTTATTTATGTTGAATACAGATTAAATGTTTTCATTTCAGCAATAAACATACATTGAGCTTCCAAAACCAAAATGGTTTAGCTCAAATGCTTAAAACAAGTTTGAGTCCCTGTGTTTTTATATCTCTGTATACTATGTATACTATACGTTATGGAAGCCCATTTTTGCCACAGAATAAAATGTAAAAAAGGTAACTGTAACTTCTTATCTCTTAAATCTGACTTTTGTAAGAATTGTGAGACATAAACTCGTAATTGCATGAAAAAAGTCAGAATATTTTTAAATTCTGACTTTATATCTAGAAAAGAGTTGCAGTTATCTTTTTGTGACAGAAACAGGCTTTTATAACACATCACTGCAACAAAGTAAATTTCTTAGTGTATATATATATATATAATAACTGAGTTTATACTTAAAACAATAAAAAAATCTGTCAATGGTGTAAAAGAAAAATAAACTGAATTTAAAAAATGTATTTTTTTAAGCTATCTGAATGTGAGCTGATATTCTTTGAAATGTTAACTATTAGTGCTGATCCAGAACAATTATGTAAATATATCCTTCAGCGCTGATGTCTAAAGACCAGAATATTACAGAGACACAATTGTTGAATTTACATAATTTGACATAATTGTTCAATCTGTTTTTGACTTATTGTTCTAATCAGGCTGTTATCATTCAGTGCGCTAAAACTTAAACACAACACAATAAGCCTCACCCAGACAGTACACATGCTGAAACTGCAGCAAAACACAGGATGCATTGAATGTGCTGAAACTGCAGCAAAATCTAAAACAAAACATCCAAAAAACTCATGTTTATACCGATAATAATCCTCATTACGAACATATCTCAACCTTTGTTTAGATTCTCATCTATATTATAATTTATTTCTACTGGAGCATCATGCAGTTGGAGGCTCATCTTCGTCTCTCTCAGGGTTGTTTGTGGTTCTGTAAAAGTTCTCAGCGGCTGTTCTCACTCTGTACTGCACGCAGGTACGCACGACCAAACTTTATTTATGTTGAATACAGATTAAATGTTTTCATTTCAGCAATAAACATACATTGAGCTTCCAAAACCAAAATGGTTTAGCTCAAATGCTTAAAACAAGTTTGAGTCCCTGTGTTTTTATATCTCTGTATACTATGTATACTATACGTTATGGAAGCCCATTTTTGCCACAGAATAAAATGTAAAAAAGGTAACTGTAACTTCTTATCTCTTAAATCTGACTTTTGTAAGAATTGTGAGACATAAACTCGTAATTGCATGAAAAAAGTCAGAATATTTTTAAATTCTGACTTTATATCTAGAAAAGAGTTGCAGTTATCTTTTTGTGACAGAAGCAGGCTTTTATAACACATCACTGCAAAAAAGTAAATTTCTTAGTGTATATATATATATATATATAATAACTGAGTTTATACTTAAAACAATAAAAAAATCTGTCAATGGTGTAAAAGAAAAATAAACTGAATTTAAAAAATGTATTTTTTAAGCTATCTGAATGTGAGCTGATATTCTTTGAAATGTTAACTATTAGTGCTGATCCAGAACAATTATGTAAATATATCCTTCAGCGCTGATGTCTAAAGACCAGAATATTATAGAGACACAATTGTTGAATTTACATAATTTGACATAATTGTTCAATCTGTTTTTGACTTATTGTTCTAATCAGGCTGTTATATTAGTTAACATGAAAAGTTATTTTGTAAATTATCATCAAGGGCATGAGATTATGAGAATTGGCTGCAGTTATTTATTATTTTTGTAGAGTAACTGTTATTGTAGAGTTTTATGAATCTTGTCATCATGAAGACTTGTCTTGAAGTGTTGAGAAATGATTTGTTTTCATTGTCTCTTATTCTGTTTATAGGTCATCAACCAATTACTATGAACTTCTTGGGGTGAAATCAGATGCTACGCTGGAACAAATAAAAAATGCATTCTTCAACCAATCCAAAAAGGTTCATTTGTAGTCATTATTCTCTCATTGTAGAGTCATTTTGGTTATAGAGTCTAGTGTTACGATCACTTATATTAACCAGAACGTTATCATCCCCCAGTGTGGAAACTTTTATAGTTATCTTTATAGTTATCATTCTTGTTTTTTAACATCAGTTCAACCACTTAATTTTATTTTGATTATTCTGTCGTCTGTATGCTTGACAATGGAAGAGCAGTTAGTAATATGCATGTGATCAAAGCATTTTGAAGTTTGCATTCGTTTAATTTGTCAAAAATTTAAGCAGATCCTCAGAATTTTTCTCTGATACATAGTTTATCCTTGGTGGTTAAAAAAAGTAGCCTGAATGCATTCTGGACGATGGTATGGTTGTACAAAAATTATGCCTAGTTTTTCACCTAACCCCTAGAGGAAGCTATTCGATTGTAGCAGAGAGACTGTTGTCTGTTCCCATAGTCTTAAATTCTTAGGCACTTATTCTTGAATTGTATCCCTGATTTGTTTAGTTGTTGAGTTTACTAGGCACATTTATTTTGTTGGATAGTTTGTCAACATGTCACAAATTGAAGCAATTAAATATGTTGGTGAGACTGTATCAGGGGAAACAAACAAAAGACGTGAAACAATTATGCAGAGAGAAAAACATCTGTTTACAGATGAAGGAGGCAGAGTGACGGCAAGATAGGACCACTGCATGTTTGTGTGTGTGACAGGAGATGAGGGTACAAACCGAGGATATGGGCGCTTTGTTTCCAAGTCAGAAGCAGATAAAAGCTTTATAAGTGATGTGACTTATAGAACAAGTTAGAGTAGAAAGGTGAAAAGATCATAAAGATGAGCCTTGTGCTATTTTCTGTTCACTAAATATGAGACATGCATTAATCTGATGTTTTTTATTAATTCAATGCATTAAGGATACTAAATAATTTATGTGCATGTGTAATTCATGTTCTTTGAATTGTTTAAATTGATAAATGTATATATAAGTGTAATGTCATTGTTTTGATATGAACAAAAATGTCCGTCTTCTCATCCTCAGTTGCACCCTGACAGTGACCCATCCAATCCTGGTCTGCACAGTCAGTTTGTGCAGCTGAACGAGGCGTACAGGGTGCTGTGCAGAGAAGGGTCCAGACGAGATTATGACCTCAGGCTGAGGTACCGGAATGCTGCAGGTCCAACCTACAGATCCTCCAGCTCCACCAACAGCCCCAGGTGACTGTTAGCGCCATAATCAATCAACCTGATGTTATTAAATGGGATTTTATTGAATTAGTAAAAGTGGGCATTTTATGCCAAAATGAAAGCTATAATATTAGCATATATACTGTAGAAACCAGTGGCCTTTTAAAAAAAAACACACAGATTTGATCCCAATTTTCATGAATTTTATCCTATGTCAAAAGTGAGGAACAAATCGTCAGAAACTGACTAAAACTGACCAAACAACCACTTAGAACACCTTAGCAACTCCAAGCAGCATGCTGAAAGCCCCTCAGAACACTCGAACAACTGCATAGCAATGCCCGAGCAACCACTCAGAGTCAGAACACCTTTGCAACTGCATAGCAAGATGCTGAAAGCCTCTTAGAACACTTGAACAACTGCATAGCAACGTCCTAGCAACCACTCAGTCAGAACTCCTTAGCAACTGCATAGCAGCATGCTGAAAGCCTCTCAGAACACTTGAACAACTGCATAGCAATGCCCTAGCAACCACTCAGAGCCAGAACACCTTAGCAACTGCATAGCAAAATGCTGAAAGCCTCTCAGAACACTTGAACAACTGCATAGCAATGCCCTAGCAACCACTCAGAGCCAGAACACCTTAGCAACTGCATAGCAAGATGCTGAAAGCCTCTCAGAACACTTGAACAACTGCATAGCAATGCCCTAGCAACCACTCAGAGCCAGAACACCTTAGCAACTGCATAGCAAGATGCTGAAAGCCTCTCAGAACACTTGAACAACTGCATAGCAACGTCCTAGCAACCACTCAGTCAGAACTCCTTAGCAACTGCATAGCAGCATGCTGAAAGCCTCTCAGAACACTTGAAAAACTGCATAGCAACGCCCTAGCAACCACCCAGAGCCAGAACACCTTAGCAACTGCATAGCAGCATGCTGAAAGCCTCTCAAAACACTTGAACAACTGCATAGCAACGCCCTAGCAACCACTCAGTGTCAGAACGCCTTAGCAACTGCATAGCAACTGTCCCAAATGGAACACTTCATGTGCACTTGCGGTCTTACGGACTTACAATGGATGCCGCGTGCGTGTGTCCGTAAAGACCATGAGACCGTAGAGTGTCCCATTCGTCATTTTAGCGTACAGAAGGGTGCTCGTGAGCGCCCCCTTTGCGGCCGTTATGCGCCCTCGATCCACACTTCTGCCGAGCCGGTGCTGGGGCGAGCTCTGCAGCAGACTTCTACCCGACAGTCAAAGCGGCATTACGTCATGAAAGTGCGGACTCAGAGGAAGACTGCTAGGGTGCCATTTGGGACAGGGCCTTGCTGAAAGCCTCTCAGAACACTTGAACAACTGCATAGCAATGCCCTAGCAACCACTCAGTGTCAGAACACCTTAGCAACTGCATAGCAACTCCTTGCAACCACTCAGAACATCCTATCATCATGGTGACAAGATTTGCACAGACAAGCACCAGTCACGTTTTCTTCAGAATCAGAGTCTGGTTTACATTAATATTCTGTGTCAGCAGAAAAGTAAAGTCATTTCAAAAGAAGGTTTATACATTTTGATGTAATATTGTGAAAGCAATTTTTGTTGAATAATATGCAGTAAAAACAAATATTTTTTAAGAAATGTAATAGGTTGACTGTGATAATTTTGGGTATATGTGTTAGACTCTTCAAAATAAAGGATATTTATTGGCATTAATGGTTCTATGAAGAACCTTTAACATCCATAGAACCTTTCCAGTGCACAAAAGATTCCTAAAAGTGTTAGTTGTGTAATAATTGTGTTCTCATTAAGTTCTTTTAAGCACTGTTCACTGAGAGCCTCGAGGAGCCTAAATGGTTCTTCTGGCATCATTGCTAAAATCCCCTTTTGGAACTTTATTTTTAATTTTAATTTTTAAGAATCACATGTTAAAAAATGATTATGGTTCAGTGGCAAAATGACCAGTGTTGTATCTCTCTGTTTGTCAGTGCGGAGGCTGCAGAGAGCATGCGTTACTGGGAGCAGTTCAGACAGGCCCAGCCTCAGGAGAACACGGCTGAGGAGCGGGAAAAGAGAAAGAAACACAACATGCATTTGGTGGGCTACTGCATGCTAACCATGCTACTCAGTCTCTCCATACATTACTTTGGGTTCAGGTGAGCCCTAAAACATAACAGGCGTACATAGTATTGACAACAACATGCACAGTGTTCCAGCACCATATTTTTGTAACACACTCTGAATGATGCTGTGCTGATAAGTGAGTGTTTTGCAACTGTTTGAATGAAACGCAGAGCAAAATGTTTTCTTTTGTTCATGTGCCGGTTTTCTGATGAGTATGTGATAATGATGTTTTGTTTTTGAAACGCATTTCGTCTGTCCCAGAGCCAGACAAACCCCAGTAGTGTGTGTTCACTGGTTTCCCATAATCCCTGATGTTTAGTTATGCTTTCCAGTATCAGCTAAATGTTTTTACACCTTGATTTAGGCAACTGAGATTAAGTATCTTCTACAAACAGATGCTGCTAGGTTGAAGCGTAGCAGAAGTGCATTTAAAATGTTTTGAAAAATGACCAAATGTTTTATTGCCCTGTCAGTACCCATGTGCCCTTTTAAATGTGACCCTAAAGTTATGTGGGCACATCATGGATGTCTGTTTACTCCTCCAAATATATGTGTTGGCAGTAAATCTGTTCACCTTTGACCTCTGGGCTGGTCTGTCATGCAGGAAACTGGAAGAGGTCCATAATAACTTCATGGATGAGAAGGATATAATCATCACTGATATCTACAGCAAATCCAAAGAAAGAGCCAGGTGGGGACCGCTTTGAAGTTACACATGTTGCCTCAGGAAGCACATCAGAGGTTTTGAATACAAAAGCTGTAGTGTTTGAAACCATTAGGGGACACATTGTTAACATGTAAAGGAGAGATAAAGTAAGATGATTATTGATTCATCTCATGTTATTACAGCCTTTATGGATTTGTTCTTTATTAGCAACTTATTCGGCCCCCTAATGAGGTTGAAGTACTGAAGGTTAATGTAATTTGTAAGTCACTTTGGATAAAAAGCGTCTGCATTGGATAAAAAAAAGTTATTAGAATAATGCTAAATTGCGTGGGAACGAAATGTTATAGATCAGACATAGCAACACCCTGGCACAAGAACTCCCAAACGCTTGTCAGCCAAACCCCTGTAAAATATTTACTTGAAGCACTCCCTGAGATTTTAAGCAAATATTTCAATATTTCAGTTAATGGTTACATGACATGCAAGTGAATAGATTAGTTATTTAATCATTTTTTACCATTTTATTTTGACTTTGTAGCTGGACTTTTGGTAACACTTTATAATGGCTTTCATTAATAAATCATTAACAAACTTTATATAGTGCTTAATGGATCATTAGTTAATATTTATTTAAGAGTTACAAACGTAAGATAATGTGCTTGTTAATGTTTGCTAATAAACTTATTAAACATTAGATAATGTTCAAACAAATCATTATTTCATGTAAGTTAAAATGCTTACAAATGTCATTAAACTTTAAATTCCATTTGATCAAGCACTTATTGAAAATCTACAAATTATTTTAACAGGTGTTATAAAATGATTAAGAGCTTGTGTTAATGCACAACACTTCTGCTGCTATTGAGGTGTGATACGGGTAAGGTTAGGGACAGGTTTGGTAGTTTAGGTGGGTTTAAGAGTCGGTTAAAGGGTCAACAGTGTACAGGGGTCAATTTGATTATTATAAGGGAACACGGTTCAATCTGTTTATATCATATTGTTTTGATAAACGAACAATAAACGATAAAAGTATTTTCTTTAAAAAAAAAAGTTTTCACCTGTTTATTTATGATTCAAGGAATATCCTGTTTAATGATATACTGAAGAGTAGTATACTTAATGTGAGCGTTGAGGCAATAAAAACTTTTTTTGCACCAAAATTACAATCTGTTATGTTTTTAGCAAGCATTTAGCTAAACTTAACCAGCCACCCTTTACACAAACCTTGTCACATTAGCTAAAAGTCCAGTGCACTTAAAGTTTCGAAATATTAGTAATCGTTTATAAACGTTTACAAATGATGAATAGTTTCAACTTTAGATTGGCTACTGCAAAAACATGAACAAGTTATTAATAAATGATTAGTAAAGATGTGTGAACAGGGTAAATTCAGGTCTTTCGGGATACTTTCTACCATTGAGATGACTGCTCATAAAGGTATTAATGATTAGTAAACATTTATAAACATTTGCAAATGATGAATAGTTTCCACTTTAGATTGGGTACTGCAAAAACGTGAACTAATATTTAATAAATTATTTGTTAAAATGTGTAAATAGAGGTCTACACAACAAAGACCAATTAATGAAGATCATATGAACTGAAAGTTTACTGACATTTGTAAGCATTTTAATTTACATTAAATAATCATATGTTAATCATTAGGTAATGTTTAGTAAGTTCATTAGTAAACATTGACAAGCACATTATCTCATATTTCTAGCTATGTGGATATATATTAACTAATGATCTGTTAAGCATTATATAATGTTTGTTAATTATTTATAAAGTGTTACCGGACTTTAAAATAGATTCAAAACTCTTTTTAATTGTGATATAGTTTCAGTCAACATTACATTCACAATGTAAGGGATAATCCACGGCTAGCTGTGCATTTGATATGTAAATATCTATTATGCAATAAATGCAAATATATAAATTAAATAAACCTATTGCACGTTGCCTTCCCAGATGAATGTTAAACTCTCAGAGCATGCAGAGATGTCGTGAACTCTGAGACACTGAAAACACTGGATCATGAGTTGCTTGCATATGCACTAAACACAGTGCAGCGATTCACTGTGAAACACACACACAGACTATAGTTAAGAAATCACAGCCTTTGATTTGATAATTGCACTAAACTAGATCAGGATTATCGTGCAGCCCTGTTTATTTTAATTTTACATTTGTTATAATTATTAGCTTTTCATCAACCCCCTGCAGTTCCCTCGCAACCCCTGTTTTTGTAAACCATACCCTTGCATAATGACAGTGAGTTTTGCATGGGATAGCACATTCATATTTTCTTCAGAAATTGTAAAAAATGTATTTGATCATGCTGCTGTCTGATTTTCCTCAGAATGAACGGCTTTAAGAAGCAGCAGGAGATCTTGAGACAGAAGCACGCTGAGTTCCTGGAGAGATACAAGATCCGCAGTGATGGAGAAGATAAATAAAGCAAGGAAAAGACAGATCTAAAAGCTCATCGCACAGTTATGGAGAGAGTGCAAGTTGTGGATGGACGTTGAAGAGTAAATAGTATTTTGTGTTCATAGATTTTATGAAATTTTTTTGGGTCACAGTGTGTCAAATATGTGTCAGTTTTTTTTAGCAGAAACTTTTTTCCAGTTCTGTTCTTTCACCCAATTCCATCAGATTAAGGTCACAGAGGGTGCAAGGCAGATTATAGGCCAACATGGCTCCTCATGAGGTGTTATACACCTGTACACTTACTGTATTGTCTACATTTACAGGCGACATTGTAACTGCACCTGGAAAGGGTGTTATGGAATCATTGCATTCCTGATAAAGTAGTTCATCAAAACACTGAATACACTGTACATTGTGCACTTTGTTAAGCTCAGAGTGTCTGTGTGGGAGAGAGTTTCTCATGGAAGAATGTTATACAGATGGACAGGTCAGTGCTGTCCAGTGTGAGTTTTAATTCAGGTGCTGGTTATTTTCCAACTATATTGAATGCAACATCAAATAATCTTATCTTGAGTTTCTTTCACCCACGTAACAGATCTAGGCTGCATAACAAATGCATTTCCTACAAGTTATTTTACAGCAAGATTAAACAAGTCTCTTATCCTGAATCCAAACTCTTTGCAGACCACTGCTGTCACAAGGCATAGATCCCAAAATGAAGTATTTTTAGATATCCAAATCATTGCATTATTTGAAGAATGGAAAAGTATTTTAGGATTTGACCTTTAATGTAAATTCTTCAAAAGACATTCACTTTAAATTAGCAGAGCGCCTTCATCTTTTTATAAATCAAATATTGATTTTGTGTGAAATCACGCAAGCCTTAATGTCACTGGGTTTTGAAGTGATTAATAATTAAAGATGATATGGATCTCAGTTATGTAAAGTTTTTTATCTGCACAAATGTGTGTTTCTGTAGATTTTTGCTTTTCCACTTTTCTTACACACAACCATTTTTAATGTTTTTGAAAGAAGTCTTATGCTTACCAAGGATGCATTTATTTAATCAAAAATTCAGTAAAAAACACAATTTTAAAAAAAAAGTATATTGTGAAATTATATTACAATTTAAAGTAACTGTTTTCTATTTGAATGCATTTTAAAATGTAATTTATTCTGTGATGTCAAAGCTGAATTTCCAGCATCACTCCAGTTTTCAGTGTTTCTGATTAAGAAACATTGGTTATTATCAATGTTGATTTGTGTGTGTGTGTGTGTGTGTGTGTAAACCATGATACATTTTCGTCAGTATTTTTTTAATGAATAGAAAGTTTAAAAGAAGAGCATTTATTTGAAATACAAATCTTTTGTAGCACGATAAATGTCTTTACTGTCACTTTTGCATCAGTTTTGCATCCTTGCTGAATATAAGTATTCATTTCTTTAAAAAAAAAAAAAAAACTAAATGACCCCAAAATTTGAACAATAGCATATACTTCCAGAAGGCATTATTAGTGATGTTTGCTAAGGTAAGCAACACTTTTGCGATTGCTCATATTGTTTTTCACATTGTGGATGATAAAACAGACTGAAACTTCCCATAGACTTGCTTTGCTTGTTTATTGCCCCGCTTTTTAACTCCTCTTAGCAAACAAAAACTACTACGTCATTCCCAATTTGCAATGTTCTTTCCAGACATTCTAGAATCCACTACAGTAGACGAATGTTACAGAAGCCTCACATTACCAAAGCCTGTGCAGATGTTGACGATCTGGGCTGTTCTGTGACTCCACGTCCTGGGACTCAGTCTGATGTGGTTTACTGATACGGCATGGGCCCATATGCAGGTGCTCCTCTATGCTCAGGTCTGATCTTGGAGATACCAGTTTTCAGGAGTGAGTCAGGGACAGATTCGGGGATGATTTTTAATCTGCTTTTCTGTCTCTATAAGAACAATTTTTAAGTTTTAAAACACTTTAAGGGCACCGTCTGGAGAGTCTTCACAGAAGTACTAACGACATCGCCCACAGTTCAGCAGTATTGATGGTGAAATCTTGTGACCTTGGCCCAGTTTGTTTATTTGGACATGTGATGACTGGACCTTCTCTCCTGACCACTCTGGGCTTTCCAGAAGGCCTTTAGAGAGTTATACTCTGAAAGGGCTCTTTGCGGCTGTCAGCTTTAATGCTGTTAGTAGTCCTGGAGAGATAGAACAGCCTGCATTCCTGCAGCCCACATGAAGGGCTTTCCAGAAGGCCTTTAGAGAGTTATACTCTGAAAGGGCTCGTTGCGGCTGTCAGCTTTAATGCTGTTAGTAGTCCTGGAGAGATAGAACAGCCTGCATTCCTGCAGCCCACATGAATTTTTTATTTTTTTTTGCTTTATAACCCAAACATACCTGTGGCTGATGTTGAGGGTCTTCACATGCAAGCAAAGTCTAGTGGGTTCAGGTTTGTTAGTTTGTTAAATCAATCAGTTCAGATGCTGTTCAACCTATTTTACACCTGAAGATAAAGTGACTTCTAAGGATGTGTTGTTTATAATATATTCATAGCTGTTGATGCACAGAAAAGTCTTACGTAATTGCTTAAGAAAATGGATTTAAAACAAATTTTCCTCAAATGTACTTTTTATTTTTTTTGCATTAGCAAGCGAAAATTTGTAATCTCTGACTATAGTTGGCCGTTGTTAAGCATGATGCACAGCAAAGTGTTAATTGCTTTAGAAAATGGTTTTAAAACCGGTTTTACAGTGTTTCTATTTAATTAGCAAGTAAAAGTTGGGAGGTGGGGGGGAACTGTCCCTTTAAGTTCCATTCTTCCGCAGTAAAATATAGTCCCGGTTGACAGTAGTCTCTATGGGTGCCGCCAGGTGAACAGGTGTTTCGCGTCATAGCCGTTTTAACACTGTAAAAATGTTTTGTATGGTAGCTTAACCTTTACATGTGATTAAAGTGGTAACTGGCTTTATTCAAGTCAAAACTATTATTAAATATCAACAGGACTACATTAGGTTAGATCTACTCGGATGACTCCTTAAAGAAAGAGCCGCGCAGTTTCGCTTTTAACTGTTTATCACTGCTGTATGTCAATCAATCTACATCCAGGAGCGAAACTAGTCGTTTTATAATTATCACTCTCTCTAAACTCTGTAAAACGCATGTCTCCTTAAAAAACACCCTGACAGGGAAAAGCACTCAAAAATAGACAGGGGAAGTCGGTTAATAATTGTCCCCCTCGCGGTGCGCGAGCATTACACCTGTGCCGGTTTGCGCGCGAGCAAAGTCTGCGAGTCAGGAGGAAAAAAAGAAAAGTTCCACGAGCGCGACGGTGACGCGCACCGAGAGTTGCGGAGCGTGTGAGTCCTGAAGGGCAAATAAGAGACCGGAGAAAACGACCTTAAACATATCAAGGTGCATTTCTCTCATTCTTATTTCATATAGGCGCACGTGCATTGCAATGCGCATGTTGACAATGTAGGTTATGTATATGCTGAACATTTTAATTATAAGATCTTGTGTCTGACAAGCAAAGCGTCATCATGGGTTTTGGTGGGCATGATTTCTCTGGTGACCTACAGTAGCACACGGGATGCGCCGCACAAAGCGGGTCTGAGATGCCGGATGGGAGACGCAGAGACCTTCAGGAGGCTCATAGCATCGATTCTTCAGGATATATTTATTTGTTACCGGATATATTTCTCTGGACCATAAGGACGCACTCTAGTCCCACCGGGAATCTTGCTGCGAGGTAGCCGGTATAAATGAAATGCACGGAATGCATGCAAAACTCTTCTATAAAATAACATATATTGGGATTTATTGTAGCTAGTTATTTGTAATAAATTCGCGCCACGACCATAAGCATCTCAAAAGCCTGATTTTATACTCAAGGAGTGCCATGTTGTGTTCTTCATTTACCTGATTTACAACTGAAGATATTTCATTTTTGTCTTTTTATTTTCTCGTTAACCCATGAAAGGGATGACAGTTGCCTTGCTTTTTGAGAAACTACTGAGTAAATTGTCATTGTTTGGATTAAAGATGTTGGATTCGGATGTGAAAGTGGAATAATCATTCATAGAGCATTAACAACTGTGAGGACTGGACGTTGGACCTGCTATTTCTAACTGTTTCTGACTTTTTTGGTGAACTCAAACAATGGGGATCAAGCTGAGAGTTATTCTGGGAATGTTTCAGTTCGTCTCATTTACCAGGATACCAACACAATGTGCCAAAACACCGGTAAGAACATGTTTTTAATTGTAATAATAATAATAATAGTAATATTTTTGTGATTATTTAAAATGTTGGACAGTAGCATAACAGTGCACGTACAGGTACAATACTGTTTAATTAGCTGTTTTAAAGTGTGTGTTCTTTATAATCTTTTAGTCTTTAAGCTTAAATTAAATGAATTGAGCTACTCTGGTCTTGCTGTCTTTTATCACATCAGATTGGATAAGTATCTTTTATCGTGGCAGATTCCTCTCTATTGCTTGTCAAATGTATTTGATAGAGCTGAGTTAATGCACAACACTCTTCTGAGCATTTTGTGTGTTGAAATAACCTGACGGTCATTGACGTTTGGCAGCATGAAAAAGGTGCTGCTTTTAAAGATGCAGTTCTGTGATAAAAGCCACCAATTTAGTGATCACAACAGTGGACATGTGTTTAGTGTTTAGTGTTGCCTGAGAACACATTAAAGCGAGCTGAGGGTGTTAAAAAGCACATCATGGGGGTGTGGCCTCTATTATAATGTGGTGTATTATAATAATTTAATATAATATAATGCTAGAATATTTTTTTTAAATATGCATTAATTAAATACATGTAATTTAATGTGCTTAAAATATTATTTTATTTTATATTTTATTTTCCCCCCTCAATAGCCTACATATAATATCTAATAGGCTATATCTCGTATAGAACGAATGGGTGTTAAATAATATTTTGTGCGATTATTAAATATGGTATTTTAATAATATTTTAATAAATATTTATGTATTGTAATATGATTTTTATTTATTTTTTTGCTGTGTCTCAGAAGGACAGACAGTGACGCACATCTTTTCTTATCTTTATCTTCACTTATACAAGCTTTTGTCAACATTACAGTCATCGGTATACGACACCTATTGTTAGCACCAATAGCGTTGCGAGATGAATATGAAGGCAGGATGGCAGAATGCACTGAATTTGCGCATCTCCGCAATGTGGTCCGTGTTCGTGTGGCCGGAGCTCTGCTTTATGGATGCATATCATTAGTCTTCGTAATGATGCAGCTCCACTCATCGTTTGTCCTGTTGTGTTTAGCTGAAACTTCGTTTATTTATTTTAGCCTGCAGTTTGGCATTAGTATATTTAATTTGATGATGCTGAAGATGCTGTGAAATGTAAACCTTCCGAATGTTGCAATGCATTATTGCATGCTGCTAGTTGTAAGTGCAGCTCAAATCCATGGTGAGGTATGGCATGGTTTTCAAAAGTCTAACCCTGTGACCTTTAGGTTTCTCTATGTCACGTAGAGATGTTGAAGTTGCTATTGCCAGGTGGGCAGTGATCAGGGTTGCCAGGTCCCAGACAAATTTTCAGCCCAAAGCTGACTCAAAACTCGCCCAAAAGGAATCAAAACTACACTGGAAAAATTGACTTTAATAATCTTCACTCGGAAATTGCTAGTAAATTTCACAATTGACTACAAAGAACACATTGTAGTTTGTACACATCTTCACTCAATAAACTGAATATTTTATGATCTTAGGACAATTTCTTTTGAATCGCTCTTCTTTCCACAGTCAGTCTTGTTTTGTCTTCACACAAGCATCATCGTGCAATTAATGCCAAACTCGGTTAACCTGCCTTAAAATCCAGTTCTGATGTTGGTGAAACTCATGTAATCTGTAGTTTGTGAGGTGACATCAAACATTCATCAGATCCCCATAATTTCTCCTTATACTTGCGGTCCTTGGGTTGCCATATATTCCAAGGATCAATACACTTAAAGGGTTACTCCACCCCAAAATGAGAATTTTGTCATTAATCACTTACCCTCATGTCGTTCCAAACCCGTAAAAGTTTCGTTTGTCTTCGGAACACAATTTAAGATATTTTGGATGAAAACCGGGAGGCTTGTGACTGTCCCATTGGCTGCCAAGTAAATGACACTGTCAAGGCCCAGAAAAGTATGAAAGACATCGTCAAAATAGTCCATCTGCCATCAGTGGTTCAATCTGAATTTCAAAGCGTAAATAAACAGAGAAAATGTATCTGTGTGGTGCGGCTGACACAGACAAGTAGAACAGTATACGCAGTTTGCGTTCAGTGGATATAATCCAAAATGGCGCTACGGTGACTCCTCGGAGACGCATTGTTGAATAAAGTCGTTATTTTTGTTTTCTTTGCATACAAAAAGTATTCTCATTGCTATATAAAATACAGATTGAACCACTGATGGCAGATTGACTATTTTGACGATGTCTTTCATACTTTTCTGGACCTTGACAGTGTAATTTACTTGGCAGTCAATGGGACAGTCACACGCCTCCCGGTTTTCATCCAAAATATCTTAAATTGTGTTCCGAAGACGAACTAAGCTTTTACGGGTTTGGAACGACATGAGGGTAAGTGATCAATGACAACATTTTAATTTTGGGGTGGAGTAACCCTTTAAAGTGAAGATAGCAAAACATAGCACATAATAAAAAGAGCTATTTTCATTATTCTTTGTCTACAGATAAACATTTTGCCACTGTGGTATGTTAGAAAACTATCCCAAAAAAACTTTTCCACAGATGCATTTTCAAAATAGGCCAATTGTGCGGAAAAACCACGACCCTGGCAACACTGGCAGTCGGTGATGTCTAGAATTTTCTGTTTGCAATCCAGCATGTGCAGTGCAGTCCAGAAATCTGAGACCACTAGTGAAAATGCACCTATTTGCTTTTTTTTTTCAAATAATATCAGCATAATAATGTTCGATTAGTGACATAAAGTAAAAAAAATGTATGTCTGGGATTAAGTTAATTTGAAGTAAATTAAACAGATTACTAAAGTATGTTTTAGAGAATATTATCTCAGTCTTTCTGCTTGAGAGTTTCACGTTCTGTTCAACGTGTTTCTTGTCGTTTATTTGTAATCCATTGTGAAATTTACTAGCAATTTTTGAATTAAATTTTTTTCCAAATAACAAAATCCTACACCAATTTTCTTCAGTGAGGTGCGGAATCGTAATATTTTTCTTCATTTTACGTCATAATTTTTCTATAGTTTTGATGCTTGAACATCCTAAAACGTTGTTTATTTTCAGGTTTAAAAGAAAAAACTTCCAGATTTTCCATGTGGTCTCAGATCAGCTATAGCAGTGCCTGATACCTGCTGTTCAGACTGAAAACCTCAGCTCTTAATGCTTAATGTCCATTCACAGATGCCAAACTGACCCACGGGCTGCAGGTGGAGGGGGATTGTGGGAGAATGAGGCAGCTGAGCTGATGATTGTGCTCAAACTCAATTGAGCCATGATGCAGCCAAATCCAGCCAACTGCTGCAAAAAAACCTGGAAGCGCTGTAATTGTCAGTGTGTGTACATTTCAGAGAGAGAAAGTGAATGTTAATGTGTATGTGTGTGTGTGTGTGTGTGCCAGTCGCCATGCCAGCTCTGAGCTGGCTGCTGTATTTCACAATGGCACCGAGGCAGGAGGTAGATGAGGAATTGACCAACTCAACCCTCATATTGCAACATGCAATCTGCCTGCGTGCAATGATCTGCCTGTTTTCTGATAAATATTGCGTTTAATTGCATTAAAACTTTATTTGATGCCATCGTTTCAGAATAAATGCACACAAACACTCACGTTGTGAGGGTATAAACTGAATGTGCTGGCCTATTTCAGCGTAAAATCACCTATAAAGCAATTGTCACACATTGGAAAAACTACCCACACAGTAAGCAGCCAGACATGGTGCAAGGAAGCAGTGCATGTGTGTGTTGTTTGCGCTGCAGTGCAAAGTCTGCTTTCTCCCTCAGCGGTGACCTTGTTCCAGTGTGCGGATCTCGCCGTAAGAGGGGCGTGTTTGTGTGAATGTGTGCTAACATCCATCTTTATGCTGCTCTGGCACAAATAAACACTAGAAAATCATTATAAGTAAAAGTTTTTAGCATTATGTAGACTGGAATCAGCTCTTCATGGCACCATATAGAGTGTGCGCTTTTGTTATTGTCTCTGCTGTATGTTGCGTCTGACACTTTGTCTGTTTCCTTTCCTCTAGTCAGACCATTGGATGCCAACAGAGAGCCACGAATCTGGAGAAGGTAGTGAGCCTTGCTTTCTTTTGTTGTCTTATTCTCATAGGTGTACTACTAATTTAGTGAGGTTATATATAATAAAACAGAGTATTCTAAAATGAATCATTCTGGTCCTCAGTGCTCATGGCAAAACACCTCTTTGGCAGATACTGTCATTGCATTGCACCCATAAAGGCCACCTACAGTACAGCACAGTGCACCTACAGTTTCTTTTGTTTTAAAGAAATTAATATTTTAATTCAGCAAGGATTCATTAAATTGATCAAAAGTGACAGTAAAGATATTTACAAAAGATTTCTGCATTAAGTAAAAGAAATCGAAAGAAAAATACTGAAAAAATATCATGGTTTCCACAAAAATATTAAACAGCACAGCTGTTTTTAACATTGATAATAATAAGAAATGATTCTTGTGCAGCAAATCAGCATATTAGAATGAATTCTGAAGGAAATGTGACATTGAAGACAGGAGAAAATTCAGCTTTGCATCACCTTACATTTTAAAATATATTCAAATAGAAACAGTTATTTTAAATTAGAATCATATTTCACAATATTACTGTTGTTATCTTAGCGACTTTTGAATGGTAGAGTGTGAACCTGGTTTTAAATGATTGTTTATTTGATTGGAAGTTCACTGAAAGAATCTACATAATAATGTTACACTTTAATTAAAATTGTTTATAATATTTTATTTTACAATATGTTATATTGTATAAATCGATGTTTTGGAGAGTAAATAAATAAAGGGTTTTTTATGTTGCATTAAAGGTGCTTGAGATCAGTGCATTTTATATTGATAGTTTCTTTAAAGTACCAGTACATTGGTACTTAATATTTAAAGGAATGTTCTGAGTTAAATACAATACAATGTGACATGCTGTCAATTACCACAAAAATAATTGAAATACTTTAGTTTGTAATAGCAAGGAAATCTTCATTTACAGTGCACGCACTTTACATTTAATGGTGTTGCACCAAGATACTGTTTTTAAAGTACAGCCACAAGACTTGAACATTATACATGTTCACATGAGACTGGTGTGTCATGATAGGAACAGATTGTTTACACTGAGAAAAATAAAGCAACAGGAATTCTGTTGATAACACATCTACACAAAACGGATATTGCGTCAAGAATTTTAGATCCTTGCATCAATATTTATGTGTATATGTGATGTATGTACATGTATAATGTTGTTTTCATTTAATGATGAGGCAGGTTGTCTAATTAGCCTTCCAGAATGTGTTAATGTACATTTTATATTGATAGTTTCTTTAAAGTACCAGTACATTGGTACTTAATATTTAAAGGAATGTTCTGAGTTAAATACAATACAATGTGACATGCTGTCAATTACCACAAAAATAATTGAAATACTTTAGTTTGTAATAGCAAGGAAATCTTCATTTACAGTGCACGCACTTTACATTTAATGGTGTTGCACCAAGATACTGTTTTTAAAGTACAGCCACAAGACTTGAACATTATACATGTTCACATGAGACTGGTGTGTCATGATAGGAACAGATTGTTTACACTGAGAAAAATCAAGCAACAGGAATTCTGTTGATAACACATCTACACAAAACAGATATTGCGTCAAGAATTTTAGATCCTTGCATCAATATTTATGTGTATATGTGATGTATGTACATGTATAATGTTGTTTTCATTTAATGATGAGGCAGGTTGTCTAATTAGCCTTCCAGAATGTGTTAATGTGAACAGAGTTTTTACAAAAGCATGTCACAGATTCTGTGTCGAGCCTGGAACTTTCCATAAAGAGTGAAGAGTTTTCTTCTTCAGTGTTATTCATATATTCTCTCTCTCAGTGGTGAGGTGGTTAGATGTGTATCAAAGAAGCGGCTGTCATCCCAGAGAGACGCTGGTGGAAGTTTGGCAGGAGTTTCCGTGGGAGACACATCATCTCTTCCTGCCATCGTGTGTAACGCTGCGCCGCTGTGGAGGCTGCTGCTCTGATGAGGCGCTGGAGTGTGTGCCGTCTCAAACACACACACTTGTCATGGAGGTACACACACACACCAATGCACCTAATGCAGAGTTCACACAGGTGCAGTTCCTCACGTTAACTGTGCAAACATTTGACATCCAGTATCTTTTTATCTTCATTTTGAACAGTATATCTTTTACTTTAACCTTTATAACCCAACAAAGTTGTTTTTGTGAAATGTTTTGCTTGAAAAAAACATGCTTGAGCTACTGTATACAGTATGTCTTTAAAATAAATGCTATTTGTTTTGATATTTTGTTGTCTAATGCAATGGCATTCATACATTCTTAATTGTGGCTGCATTGTCCAAATACTTTTTAGGGACCTCTGTATATCATTGCATACACAATTGTTCAAAAGTTTGTGGTTGGTGAGATTTTTCTAATGTTTTTGAAGTCTCTTATGTTCACCAAGGCTGCATTTATTTACCAAAAATACAGTACAAACAGTAATATTCTGAAATATTATTACAATTTAAAATAACTATGAATATAATATAATTTAATATATATATAAAAATGTATATACAATTATTCCTGTGATGTAAAGCTGAATTTCCTGCAGCCATTACTCCAGGCTTTAGTGTCACATGATCCTTCAGAAAATGCTGATTTGCTGCTCAAGAAACTTATTATTATTATCAATGTTAAAAACAGTTGTACTGCTTATTATTTTAAAAGTATTGTCTTACTGACACCAAACTTTTGAAAGGTTAATGTACAGTAAAATGCTCTTCATTTCAACCCTCACAGAAACACTCAGAAACCTTTCACACATACATTTACTATTTTACATTCACATGCTTAATGTGGATATGCAACACTCACATGCTTGTATACATACATCAAAAATGAAAGATTTTTAGGGGCAAAGTACTTCCACACACAAACATACCACGTTTAATGCAAGATCTCAAACCTCACAGCTTAGAATGGTGAATAAAACATCCAGAAATGCACACACACACACACAGAGGACACACAGCATGAGTTAGTCATACATATTCAGTGTGGCTAGATGGAGTCTCTAGTGTAATGGATCAGGTTGGATCCTGGTCACGTACTGTATAGAGAGATTGAGGGATAAAAGATGGAGTCATTACTATGCAGAACAGACTGCATCTGTGTGTGTGTGTGTGTGTGTGTGTGTGTGCATTTTAACTCTGACTCCTGCTCTGTTGAACTCTACAGCTCATGAGGACCTCATACATGAAGCATGAACTTGTGCAGCTGCCTTTTATCGAACATAACCAGTGTGAGTGCAGGTGAGATACATGCTTACACACACACACACACACACACACACACACAAACCTAGCAATGTCAGTAAGGTCAGCATACCATAGACTTATATTGTTTTAATATAAAGCTAATTATTATGACTTGCAGACTAACCCAAACCCTAAGGGGGAGTACACATGACATGCTCTCATGCTTAAAAAATTCTAGAAGTAGCACATTGAAATGGAATGGTAAAAGCTGAACTGCTTTTAATTTGATTCACCATCTTAAAATCGCTTAAAATCAAACACTGAAAAACTCTGATGCAACATCGAAGACCAATGCATCTGAGCAAAAATGTAAAAACTGCAAGGAACATGAGAACATGTTCTGAGTGAACGGCACCTAAACCCTAACTAAACAAAATAATTTTGCATTTGTAGAATAATATAAAATAAATTATATGTACAACAAAATCCTAATAATTACTAAAAACAGATCATTATAAAAACCTGAAAACTTCAGAAAAAATACTTTGAAATTGTTAGGGTTTTCTCTGGTTTTGACATCAAAACATAATCAAACATGCTGAGTAAGCAAAGGTTTTTATACACTACTGTTCAACAGAGATGAAATGTCACACACCAATCCAAAACCTATCTGACTTTCAGATCACCCCTCACACACACACAAATGCACTTCCACCCTGTTTGTCACATGGGGAATGACCCCATCTCCCCACGGACTACTTTCTGAACCCAGTCACAGAAAGTCGTCACCCCTGAAACACTTTTCTGTTGGCGTGTAGCCGAGCTGTCAACATCAGCTCTTTATCGGGTCATTGTGAGGTTCTCCTCAAAAGCCTTTTCAGAGGCTGTGGGGTTCGGATTAAGGCCAGGGGTGGAGCAGAGCATTCGGTAAGAGCATTTACATGCGCTCGCCTCTCTATCCTCTCTTTGTAATACTGATCTGCCCCGTACAAACTAAACTCACCACTGTTGACCAACCCTGAGTTACTTAAACACCCACGCTAACCACACAGGCAATCAGCCAACATTATTAACTGCGTCCAGTCTGGTTGTTCCACAAAGGCTCACGTTATCATGCAATAAAACATGTATCTTACTCATAATGTTTACACTCTCACATGCTAGGACCATTATCTTATGAAAAATAAATATGCACAATGAAATACTACTAGCATTTACACAATTCTGATCTACATTATCTCATGTGGAAGTATGCAGAATATTAAATACAAATGTTGATGTTGTGGGTGGTTGTTATGTGGTTGCCTAAGCATTTTGGATGGATACCAGGATGTTCTGGGTGGTTGCTTACTGGTCCAAGTCATATCTTAAAGGAGTAGTTCACCCGAAAATGAACATTTGCTGAAAATGTACTTATCGTCAGGTCAACCAAGATGTAGATTCATTTGTTTCTTCATCGCAACAGATTTGGAGAAATTGAGCATTACATCACTTGCTCACCAATGGATCCTCTGCAGTGAGTGAGTGTCATCAGAATGAGAGTCCAAACAGGTCCGTGCATATAATCCGTGTATCATTCGATTATTCGTTTTTTGATTTAATATTGAAAGTAGAAAAATTAGAAAACGGCTCCTTTTTCGTTTTTTTTGTTTTTCTCCAAAAAACGAGAATTCAGCTTAAATTTTCGTTTTTCGTTAATGGGTGGAAAAATTAATAAACAGCTTGAATATTTGATTTCTACATGTAGGCAGGAATTAAATTCCTCTTTCTGCTGATTGGTCAGCCGAAGATCAAACCGTGCCATCATCAGTTCTTCTATGAACCACAGGGAATACTCATCTTTTAAAAGGCTTCATTTAGATTATTTGACGTTAAATGCATCACATAAGTCACTTTGGAATAAATCACAGTTGGCCTATGTATCATGATAAAAAAAAACACTTTACAGTCTGGAAATACTTTAGGCTATAGCAAATTATTTTGCGGACCCCCTATCACTTTAAGAACCACTGGTCTACACAGAAGAAAGAACTGTCTAGATTCTGCCCCGATACGAGTTGTGTCGGTTTATTCATTAGTCTGTTTGTTTGATGAAAAATTTGAAATTGATAAAATGGGTTATTAATCCGTACAACTGCAGCAGCGGAGGACTATTATTCTGCTGCGTGATACTGCGGAAGATCTGATGAAGGCACGGTTTGATCTTCGGCTGACCAATCAGCAGAAAGGGACGTTTAATTCCCGCCCACGTGTAGAAATTGAATATTCAAGCTGTTTATTCATTTTTCCACCCATGAACGAAAAACGTAAATTTAAGCTGAATTCTCGTTTTTCATTTTTTTGGAAAAAAACGAATGATCGAATGATACACGGATTGTATATGTATATTGCGTTCATTCATTTTTTGATTTAATATTGAAAACAGAAACATGAGAAAATGGCTCCTTTTTAATTTTTTTTTTCTTCAAACAATAACAAAAAATTTGCCTTGATTTTTTTACGTTCATGTGTAGAAAATGGATAAACAGTTTGAATATTTGATTTCCACATGTGAGCCAAATGCTGATGTCATCACATCTTCTTCAGTTCTGAGCAACAGAATAATAGTCCTCTGCTGCTATAGTTAAAGCATTTATTCCGACTACATTTAATCTCTTTCTCATCAAACAACCAGACTAACAAATGGCTTGACAAATGTACTGGAGCAGACAGGGCTTACTTATGTGTAGACATTCTCTATGGCAAATAATTTTTGGGGGGGAAAAAACGGGGGCCCATTTTCTCATGTTTCTGTTTTCAATGTAAAAATAAAAAAACAATGAATGCAACTACATGAACCCAAACAGCTGATTAAAAAAATCACAATAATCCACAAGTAATCCACACAACTCCAGTCCATCAATTAACGTCTTGTGAATTGAAACGCTGTGTTTATAAGAAACAGATCCATCAAAGATTGCTTCTGCCCAAAATACCATTCCATAATCCATAACATTTCCTCTAGTGAAAAAGTCCATCTCCTGTTGTCCTTTCATATCAAAATCCACTGATATATTTGTTTAGAACAGTTTTGGACTGTTTTCACTTGTAAACGGTGCTTGATGTGTGAATATTTATCTCTTGATTCAGACATGATGACTTTTTCACTGGAAAAACGATATTATGAATAAAGGACTTGTATTTTAGTTGGAAGCAACAGTTTGAAGTTAAAAACGTATTAATGATGGAGTTGTTTCTTACAAACACCCACCAAATCTGTTCCAATGAAGAAACAAACTCATCTTCATCTTGGATTGCCTGAGGGTGAGAAAAATTTCAGCAAATTTTAGTTTATGGGTAAACTATTAATTTAATTTCTCTTGAAAAATTGATAAAATCACTAAAGCCAAGAACAAAATTTGCACTGTCAAGTTTTGGGTGTTATTACATATTTGTGTTGTTATGGTTAATAGAAGGCACTAATTTAAATATGTATCAAGCAGCAGGTCACTGTGCACCAATCAGTAGTGACTGCATGAACATATCCAGATGTTTTGCTTCATAATAATTAACTAATAACATGACTTAATAAATTGCAAAACCTTTTGTAAGGTAATCTTATTACTCACCCGATTCAATGTGATTTTATGACACATTTGCACCGCAGTGACAGATTTTGTTCTAGTGTTACACTCTTAAAAATAAAGGTGCTTCAAAAGGTTCTTCAAGCGATGCCATAGAAGAACCATTTTTGGTTCCACAAAGAACCATTCAGTCAAAGGTTCTTTAAAGAACCATCTCTTTCTTACCTTTTTATAATCTGAAGAACCTTCTTTCGCCACAAAGAACCTTTTGTGAAACAGAAAGGTTCTGCAGATGTTAAAGGTTCTTTCTGGAACCATTTAGACAAAAATGGTTCTTCTATGGCATCGTGAAGCACCTTTATTTTTAAGAGTGTATGTAACTAGATATTGTTCTCATTGTAAGAGCTTAAAATAAATTGATTAATGTATGTATCTAGTTTTGTTGCTTTGCGTTGCACCACTTGCACTTAGGGTGGAAATAATTGATGCTCCCTTTTTTTATTCAGCATCGCAAACCAAGTTAAGTCCTAAAGTTGAATACTTGTCGTTAGGGGTTTATTTAAAATGATGAAATATGAGCAAAAATAACAGTACTTGAATATCCCTGTGTGTATGCTATGATAATGTTTGATCTTTCTTTTAATTGTTTTGTTTTTACGGTCTTTTCCCTACAGGCTAAAAGCAAATCTTTATGCAGAGCCAACCAGGTAAATTGTTTATTTGTGTGTGTGTGTGTGTGTGTGTGTGGGAGAGAGAGAGAGAGATGTGAAGGTTCACCAGCAGTGTGAACAGCATTTGCCCGCGCTTCCCTTTGCCCCACTGCGCACACACACACACATTAACTCCATGGAGATGGTTGCATGAGTTAATTGTGTGTGAAAGGCAGAAGTGGTTCATTCTGTTCTGCTATGATACGCTGACCCTAATGTTAAAGAGAACAGCTACTGCTTTTTCCAAATGTCTCTTTCATAGTCCTGTTCAAGATCCTCTAGACGAAAAACACAAATCTGATTGCTTAGAAAAGTAATTGCACACTTCTCCTCTCAGTCGCATAATTTGAGGCATCATTTATGTCTCTTGCACAAACTGTGTGCGATGAAGTTTCATATTTAGTATCAAACAACTATAATGATATACTTTTATACCACTATTTTTGGCAGTTTCATTTCAAGATTGAGCCACATTCAAGTGTGTATCCTAACATCAATATTTGCTAATTAAAACCAATAGTGGTATTAGAACTGTGATGAAAGCAGGCGATAATTAATTATAAATGTGTTTAAGTGGGATGTAATGTATGAACTTGGTCCTGATTTTACAATAGTTCTCCCCCTTATTGCCAGTGGACAGTCAGTCTGTTCATTTAAAGTGAATTTTTCTGGAAAAAGATAATTGAAAAACGAATAAAAGTAAAAAAAAAAAAAAAAAAGAGATTGGGACAAAATAAAGTTGTTAAAATTCCCTGTGAGTTCATCCCAGTAGAATATGTTTATGTAGACAAAGATAACTATAGTAATGCCTGGTGTACATTGGACAATCAGAAATTTAGGATGACTGTCTATCAAAGTATGCTTGCTGATACGACCTACATCTACTGACTAGCCAATAAAAATGCAACATGAAAGGACATACTGATTAACGCGACATGCTATGGAGGTGAAAAGAGCTAAAAGGAATACCAGTATGTGGGATTTCAGAAGGAATTTATTGTCCTCCCCTGCCACCTCCTCTTCTTTTTTTTCAGTACACATAAAAACCACAATTGCCAAAGCGTTATTTATCTTGCTCTATTTGTTTACCACTATACTATTTGTTTTCTTCTATACTAACTTGCATCATAGCTTACGATTCGATATGTGTCATCATCGCACAGTCTATATACATATTGTACCCAAGTATAATAGATCTATGTCACACAGTGTGGTTTGTAATAATCTAATAAGACTGCTGAAGTCGCACAGTCTGTAGAGGGCATAAAACATTTTTAATTTGCAAACAAGGTGTCTCTGACTTCTAAAAGACTCAATCAGTTGCTTTGGTGTATGTGTGTGAGTGTGTGTGTGTTTGTGTCCAGCTGGCGTGCGTCTTGCACTGTTGGAAGGGAGTCAGAACCCAGAACCCTCCTTTGTTGGGAAACGGAACAGAACATTCATTTTATTGCTTAATTAGGCCACTGGTCCCTGAGGAGCCTCAGAGAGACCAGGGCTAAAGGATCACGAGAATTAAGACTTGATAAAGTCATCTCAAGACTCTCCAAATTAAATTTCTGAATTAAATATGTAAAATGCAGTTTAATACTTTTTATGTTGACATACAATATTTGTGGAAACACTAGAGTCATGATGGTGTACTTTATTTATCTATTTTTATTGGTTTATATTTATTAAATGTTGTAATTTTTTTAGGCAAGGCCCACAGACAACAAGAAAAGGCAGAAAGCGACAAAGGGGGAAACCAAAACGAAAGAAACACATAGGAAAAAAGCCGTAAGTTCATAATTTCTTATTAGAAAAAAATAGTGATGTTAAACAAAAATTATTTTCTTAATCAGAATTTTCTTCTTGAATTCCAGTAAAAACATCTGAATGTTCTTAAAACAAGATAAATGTACTTGAGAAGCTAAATTGTGTAAAATATTAGGACGTCTTCAGAAAATATATATCCTAAATTAAGTTCATTTACCTCAGTGACAAAATGTAATGAGGTTTATGCTTAAAACAAGGGGAAAAAATGAAATTGATGTTGTACTCAATTTTGCTCAAATGAATCTTATTTTAAGGCTGTTTGCATATTTTTACTGGAAAAAAGAAAAAATACAGATTAATATATATATATATATATATATATATATATATATATATACAGTATATAAATATATATTATATATAATATAATTATTATTTTTTTAATCTCGCCTTAAAGGTGCAATAGGTGATTGTCTTCAGAAACATTTTTTGTTATGCTGGTTAAAAGTCTCTTCACATCCTGATAGCAATCATTAAGTTAAGTGGTCTAAATGTATCTGTCTGTATTTATATATTCTGTGGAAGGTGTAGTACCAAGAAATGTTCGTCCAATCAAAACATTCGGTACGAGCGTTTTAATTAGCTTTCCTACCTGCCTGTCAACGTATGTATTAGCATACCTCTGCGCACCCTGTTCGCGCAGACAGGATACGTCATCAGAGTGAGAATGGCAGACAAACATCAACAACTCGATCTTCCGTACTGGTATTGTAGTACTTTTAAAGTTTTCTCACCGGTGAATGACACATGATGTAGCCCAGCGGTTAATCCAGTCCTCGCGCCAGCTCGTTAGAAGTGAGCTACGTGCATGAACTGTGTTCCGATCGATATGATCCCTACACAGTGTTCATTGCT